TGGTTTGTTTGTTATTTTTTGTACTATGGATTGAATATCTAAATAGTGAAAGAGTGACAGAGCTGAAGGCTTTCCATTTGAAATTGATCATGCTTAACAGTACAAAGTTTGAAGTCATCTCTGAAAATTGAAAAATATTCAATTCATTCTTTCTTAAGGGTATATGGTGATTACATGGTGGTCTCTATTATTTGTCTATTATAGAAGTTTTCCTATGTCTGCAGGAAAAATTCTACTCACTATTTCTTTGCACGGAAAACTCCAGGATCCTCTTATGAATAACCACCTTCTTGAAGCAAATTCAGAGGCCAATATTGAGGAAGCTCAAGAAGGTTTCCATGTATCATCTCCGAACCGAAAGATACCAGAAGGAAAACACATAATTAAATCTATTGCCAGAGGTTTAGAAAAGCTCTTTCACAAGAATGGGGAAACTTCAAAATCCGATGATTCTCCGGAGCTGTCTAGTATAGAATCTGAATACGAGGATTGCGTGGACAACTTTTCTAATTGTAGCTTTGAAGAGGCTCTTGAGATGATGCAGTCAAAAGGCAGTGAACAAGAGATGCCGGAGAACTTGCGTGGGGGTGTTCTGATTGATCAAGCATATGCTGTATCTTCACGTGATCTCAACGCGTTCCTTTTCGCTCCGAATTCACAATTCGTGAGTGATCTCACACAGCTTCATGGAACAACCAATATGCAGGAGGGGCCTTGGACGTGGAATTCAGGAGACATGTCATGTTTGACCCGAGTTCTTTCGTACACTAAAGCTGCAACAAAGATGATGAAGGCGATTAGGGCCACCGAGGAGCAAACCTATGTCAAAGCAGATGGAAAGGAATATGCTGTTTTTGTGTCTGTAAGTACACCGGAAGTTCCGTATGGAAATTCCTTCAAGGTTGAGTTGCTTTACAAGATAATGCCTGGAACGGAGCTATCATCAGGGGAAGAATCCTGTCATCTTACAATATCATGGGGAGTCAACTTCCTGCAAAGCACAATGATGAGAAATTTAATCGAGGGAGGCGTTCGACAAGGGCTTAAGGAGAGCTTTGACCAGTTTGCAACTTTGCTTGCTCAACATTTTAAGATGCTGGATTCGACAGTTTTATCTGAAAAGGATCATGTTTTGTCAGCTCTGCAAGCAGAACATAAATCAGATTGGGAATTGGCGATTGAGTACTTCTGGAATGCTTCTGTACTTACCACTATTTTCATGGTTTTGTATGTACTTGTACATATATTAATCAGTGAAACCAGCCAAGTCCAAGGCTTGGAATTTTCTGGACTTGATTTGCCAGACAGTTTTGGGGAGCTCCTCTCTTGTGGGATTTTAGTCATTCAATTGGAACATGTTTATAACATGGTCTTACACTTTGTACAAGCTAGATTGCAAAGAGGTAAGTGCATTCTACAAGTTTGCATTGAGCCTATCTTTCGTTCGCGGTCTAAAACCCCGTTGCGCTATTGTCACTTGTGTGAATTTTGTTCCCGGGATTCACTTATCTTGAGCATCTATTTCAACAGGAGGTGATCATGGAGTCAAAGCACAAGGTGACGGATGGGTTCTCACTGTGGCTTTGATTGAAGGGGTCAACTTGGCATCCTTAGGTTCCTCAGATTTATCAGATCCATATGTGGTTTTCACCTGCAATGCCAAAACAAGAACAAGCTCGGTGAAGCTCCAAACTCGCGATCCTCAATGGAATGGTGAGATTCTAATCTGCTCTCCACTTATTCACTAATTACTTCCATTCACTTTTTGTACTGATATCGTGTCTATCGAACACACTATGCAGAGATACTTGAGTTCGATGCTATGGAGGAACCTCCATCAGTTTTGGATGTGGAAGTTTATGATTTCGATGGCCCGTTTGATCAAGCTGCCTCACTTGGGCATGCTGAAATTAATTTCTTGAAACACTCATCTACTGAACTTGCAGACATGTGGATCCCCCTTGAGGGGAAGGTCGCTCAGTCTTCTCAGTCTAAGTTGCACTTGAGAATCTTTTTGGATAACGCCAATGGAGTCGAAACAATTAGGGAGTACTTGACCAAGATGGAAAAGGAAGTGGGAAAGAAGGTAATATTTTCCCTTTGGTCTATGTTGTACTAATGCTATTGCATATTGTACAGATGTTGGTCTAACTTCCTGTTTGTTGCATGGCAGTTGAGCCTCCGATCGCCTCACAGGAATTCGGCATTC